TCAGCAGGTACTTGCCCTCGAGGGTCCTCAGGGCCAGGTAATTCCCGTCGTGACGGACCCCGCGGTGGCTGCGCTGTTTGATGTCGATGTTGGTTGCTCCGGCGGGGATGGTGACGATATCGTTGTAGCCGTATCTGCACGGGGCAAAGGGACGCGGTTATTTTCCTGGACTTACTAAGAGGAGACTCATGCAGGGGATGGAACTTTGTGAGTGGGATCATGGCTCTGAAGCCATCTCTCTGTAACCCAGAGCGCTCAAGAGCTGGAAATATTGCAGTCGTGCCAGATGCGTGCTCGGCTGGAAGATTGTGCTGAATTACATGCCAAAACGAGCGATGCAATCAAAACGAACAGCCCCACGGTTACCAGCCTTGGTGGGAAATTCCCCTTACTCCCTTTCTTTTGAAATGGGTGAAGTGTTTGGGACTAAAAGCCTGGCTCTGCCCAGTGATGCTGAAGGATAGCATCAGCTATAGATAGATATAGAACAGCAGAATAGAAGAGAGTCGGGGCGCTGCTGGCATTGTACGCACAGAGGATATGTACATTGGCCAGATGTTGCTGCTAAAACCAGATCAGCAGTTAAACAGTTAACCCAACAGACATCTCATACGGTAGATGACTTGATACTAACTGGAAAGCCTTTCCTAGAAGGCAGCAAGAACCACGGCAGCAAAACCATCCTTATCCATGGGCGGGCGTCTCTGCGCCCCAGGCTCATCTTTGGGAGGGTTTTGCAGCCACCGCCACGATGCAGAAGAGCTCCCGTTGGAGGGCACAGAGCACATTCCCATGCCGGGGGAGGATTTCCCCGCAAAGCCAGCCAGAGCCCATCCCCGGAGCACCATGGCTCCCGGGACAGCACCGGGAAGGCTTCGGTACTTGAAGCCTCGGCACCCAGTGCTGTGGTAATTACTTGCTACTATAATAAAATGCCACCCTGGTATGACTCACGCCGTGGGGCCGGCAGGATCATTTTCCACGCATCCCCACGGTTGATGCTGTGGTCGGTAATTAGGTTTAGAGTGTTTTGGAACAAAGCCTTCAGGTCAAACTCTGCCCTCAGTCACCCTGGCCTCCCTAACCCTGATCTTGATGTGACCTCTTCTTGGCTGTAGCTACCATGCTAATCTCTCTTTAGTCAACCACAAACTGGAGAGTGGAAGCCCCAGTTTCAGCTGGCTCCCTGGAAGGAAACCATTTAGGAAATCTAATTTGACTGCGTGAGTCACCTCGCCGCATGGACTTGGACGCGTTGGGCTTTTGTTACGATCTTTTCAACAAAAGCCTTAAATTCAGCTCTTTGGCAAAGCAACGGAGACCTTGGGCGAGGGAAGCGGCTGCCTCGATGCCCGTGTCCCAGCACTGAAATTCACCCCCAAGCCCAGGGAAAAGTTATTGAGTTATTTACATCCCACATCAGCCCTGGAAATACGTGTCGAGCTCGCTGCATTGCGGTGAGAGATGCTTATTGTATACTCCTCGGGGCAGCAGATTTATTTGCAGTGGCGTACTGAGCCCATCGCCGGTGTCAGCACCAGCTATTATTTTAGGAAATAAACTCTGCTTAGCTTGCATAACCCTGCCCCGAAATAAACTTAGCGTAAGCTCCCGAGTTTGGGGAGGAGACCAGGCTGTTGCAAGGCCACCCGGCTGAGGGTGTCTGCACAGCTGGAAACCCCGGTTAACGGCACGGAGGGGAAGCCAAGCACTCCTCGAGTCCGGCTGCTGCAAGCAAGGCCTGCAGCTAGGTGCGATGCTTCAGGTGCGGAAAGCAAACTGGCTTTACGTGACCTAGGCGGAGTCCTAACGTTCCTAACCTAGGAGTTTTGCAATAAATAAAAGAAGAAAGGCGAATGAGAGGGGAAGCTGGTTTTTCTCCCCCCAGCCCACCTCTGCAGACCCCTTCTCCCCGGCGCCTTACTTGGATCGGTTGAGCGAGCCGGATATTTTCCTGCAAGTCGAGCCATTGCCGCCACACACCCCGCACTTGTCCAGCTTCTTGGAGGACCCGACTACGTGATCGCAGCCAGCCTTGATGCACTGGCCGTGGACGCAGATGGAGAGGGTCTCTGGTCCGCACAGCGTCCCATCGATCACCTAGGGAAGGGGGATGGAGAGGAGCAATTAGGGCATTTGATCTGAAACGGGGTAAAGAGGGGCGATTATCGTCACCAGGTATCTTACTTTGGCCTCAAAGACTTTAAATTCGCTCCTCCCCCTGGCTCGGCAAAAGAGCTTGCATCGGTCTCGGGGTGACACTCCCGCGTACTTGGGAACCCACTCCAGGCGATTCCCTTCCAGATCCGTAAAGTTGTAGCTGTTGTACTTCTCGCACTGCTGCTCCCGAAAGCTTTTCCCTGAGAGGAAAGGCGAAACGTGACCCAAAAGCCGCAGGAAGCCGGCAGGAACCGTCGTCCTCCTCAGCCGTTGCGGAGATGCCGGAGCGAGCCGAGGATAGCGGGAGCGGGCGGCGAGCGGGGAA